TTAGGTGTACATCATTATATTTCAGCTTCTGTATAGACTGCATTGTGTTCACCACCAAACTCTAGTTTCCATCCATCCCCCTACACGTGTGCCCCTTTACCTTTTTCACCCTTCTTCCACCTCCCTTCCTCTCTGGCAACCACCTCTCTGTTCTCTGTATTTATATGTTTGTTTGTTTGTTTATCTTCCACATATAAGTGAAATCATATGGTATTTGGCTTTCTCTGTGTGACTTATTTCACTTAGCGTAATACCCACAGGTCCTTCCATGTTGTTGCAAATGGCAAGATTTCATCTTTTTTTATTGCTGAGTAGTAGTCCATGTGCTTCCCTCTCATCACCCTCCATTGTGTGTGTGTGTGTGTGTGTATACACACACATCTTCTTTATCCATTCGTCAATTGATGGGCACTTAGGTTGTTTCCAAGTCTTGGCTATTGTGAATAATGCTGCAATGAATGTAGGAGTGCGTATATCTTTTCAAATTAGCGTTTTTGTGTTCTTTGGATAAATATCCAGAAGTGGACTAGCTGGATCATATAGTAGTTCTATTTTTAATTTTTTGAGGAATCTGTCTACTGTTTTCCGTAGTGGCTGCACCAATTTACATTCCCACCAGCAGTGTACAAGGGTTTCCTTTTCTCCACATCTTCTCCAACACTTATTATTTCTTATCTTTTTAATGATAGCCTTTCTGATGGGCATGAGGTGATATCTCATTGTGGTTTGATTTGAATTTCCCTAATAATTAGTAATATTGAACATCTTTTCATGTGCCTGCTGTCGCTTATTTACTCACCAAATATATATTGAATGTCCACTATGTGTCAGGCATATGCTGGATGCTGGGGATACAATGTTGTACAGGTACAGACATAATATCTGCTTTTGTGTAGCTTACAGTGAAGTTGGGGAGATAGCTGTTAGTAACCCGCATACCTTTATTTACTTAGATCAAAGATGTGGCTAAAGGAGTGGTAGGAGACGAAGTTGGAAAGACAGAATGTGTGAGATTTGGAGAATGATGTGTGTCAGCTTGAGGACGCATCCTGATCTGATTGGTCACCACTGAAGGTTTTCAGCAGGGAAGTGATGTGAAGCTGCTGTTTTTGGAGGATGGGTTGGGGGCTGGATGGGTGAGACAGGAAGAAATAAGGCCAATTAACGGCTAGTTTTGCAATAGTCCTGGTGAGAGTGACAAAGATCTTTGAACTAGTACTCTGGCAGTGAAGATGAACAAAAGGCTTCTGAGAGTATTTGGGATAGACTCATCATGGTAATTTCCCAAGTTCTCCAAGTTCTCCTCTACACCCAGAGTTCCTCTAAGTTCCAGAAACTTCAGAGGCCAAGAAAATTCATAATAGCTCTTCCCTCAACCCAAATGGACAGCTCCCTCCTCTTTCTCATTCCTAGCATGTCAACCAACACTTTTCTATTGGACTTCCCTTCTGTCTGTTGTTGGTGCTTTTATGACCCTGAGCTGCCCCCTAGTGGAGACTAGGAGTTTATAACAGCATAGAATCTTCTCAGCTGTTTGTATAACGCCTGCAACAAATTGCTTGTGTGTCTAACTAAGCTAGGAAGACACTTTACTTTTCAAACACAGAAACTCTGTATTTAGCATACAGGAAGCCTAGGAAAGATGGAAAGATAAGATCAGGTTAATAGTATTTTAAATAATGTCACTCAAGTGGGATTGAGAAAGCGTTAGAAGGCACCAGGTGACTGGCAGGAAAACTGTCCACATTTTCCCTTTCTCCTTTCAGTTACTTCTCAATACAGATTATGAGGAGCCCGAGCATAATGGCTGTATTTGGTGTCCTATGAGAATGTGGGCCCAGTGTTGCCAAATCTTTCACTTTTTTTTTTTTTTTTTTTAGTGAGGAGATCAGCCCTGTGCTAATATCTGCCAATCCTCCTCCTTTTTTTGCTGAGGAAGATTGGCCCTGGGCTAACATCCGTGCCCATCTTCCTCTACGTATATGGGACGCCACCACAGCATGGCTTGCCAAGCCGTGCGTCGGTGCGCGCCTGGGATCCAAACCGGTGAACCCTGGTCCAACGCAGCGGAGTGCACGCGCTTAACCGCTTACACCACGGGGCCGGCCCCACTTTCACTTTTTTAAGAGAAGCAGGAAAGCCAGATTACTACGTGAAATATTTCAGGTTTTTTAATGTTGTAATTTAAAATTTTAAGAAAAGAAAAACAAACTCTATAGCTACCTGTTTTCAAGCTCTACATGGTAGACCATCAGTTCCCAAATGCTAGTCCATGATTGGTAGTGATCAGTGGCCATTTTTCACTGGTTTATGGGGAAATTTTAAAAAAAGGACAATGAAATAGGTTTTTCCATACAGCTAAATCTATCTAATATGAAGATAAACTGCTTTGTGTCCTCTGTGATTATATTCTTATATATTTTGTTAAAATATCTTTGTTTTGTACTTATATTTATGTTAAAATACCTTTTATTTTATGAAATGATGATATTGCTTCTAACGTATTTAATTGTCAAAATTAAGAGTTGGTGACAATATTGTCTTGTATTTAGTTTTGTTTTACTTATTATCTAAATCTAAATGACTGGGCATCACTGCTAAGACCATGACAATTCACTAAAAGTTTTTGAGCACTATTTGTGCTTAGAAAGCACTAACCCTAGACCCTAGCAGTTGATGTGGAAGGTGTATTTGTTGGGGAGAGACTCATGGTCGCAGAGTGTGAGAACCTAGAGGAACTTTTTCCTCACTTCTTTATTTCATGATTGAGGACACTGAGACACACTGACAGGAAGAGATTTGTCCACCTCACCCAGGGAGTTAGTGGCAGAACCACAACTACAACCCAGTTTTCTGACACCAAATAAGTGTTCTTTCAACTGACCTGGTCATTTCTCTATCTCTATCAGGTCATTTCTCTCAACAGACACTGCTGAGCTGGACTGGAGATAAGGCCTAGGAAAAGGAAGACATCAGGGTAGTAGAAAAGGAGATTCGTGTAATTGTGCATTTGTATTGCAAGTTGGAACCCCCACATCACGCTCATTTCATTTTGGGGTACAGAGGTTTGCCTCTTATCTACAATTGAGTTGATTTTCCTTTGGGATGTGTCATGAGTATGTCTTTGGGTTTAAAAGTATCTTACTTTTTTTGTGTGTGTGAGGAGATCAGCCCTGAGCTAACATCCATGCCAATCCTCCTCTTTTTGCTGAGGGAAGACTGGCCCTGAGCTAACATCTGGCCGATCTTCCTCCACTTTATGTGGGACGCCGCCACAGCATGGCCTGACAAGCGGTGCGTTGGTGCGTGCCCGGGATCCAAACCCGGGCCACCAGCAGCGGAGCGTGCACACTTAACCGCTATACCACAGGGCTGGCGCCAAAGTGTCTTATTTTTAATGGCTCACTCTTTATGATATTTGTTTGTGTTAAAACATGAGTTGATTAGCAAATGTACCACTCGACTTTCTCACAGGTCTGCCCCAGCTGCTGCAGGTGCTTGTGTACCTAAATCTATACTTCTTTAAAATTGTTTTCTTATTATTTGCTGTGTGTGTGTGTGTGTCCCCTACATCCCCAACGGGTAAATAAAGTTCACATGATTATGAGTAATATATTTTATACTTTTTTCCCTCTAGAAAATGTGGCTGGCATGCAGTAGAGGTTTGACTTTGTTACCAGATTAAACAATGACTTAATAAGCAATAATAGTAACTTCCATAAATTCAGCACCATCCACATGCCAGGTATTATTCTAAGTGCTTTTTGGTACACTGTCTAAAATCAGTCTAAAAATATTTAGTGTTTGCCTCCCATGTGCCCAGGGCTGTGTTATACTCTGGGGATATGGTGGTGAATCGAATGATATATCGTCTATCCACGTGGAGTTTATAGCTTGAACTTCAATCCCTCCCTCACTCACTGCTGCCTCAGCCCCTTGTGATTCATGCTAGCCTGAAACACAGGATTATAAATCATAAGAGTTACAGTCATGCCGGTTGCTTTGAAAGAGTGCTGGAATTGGGCGAGACAGATAAAATGGAAATTAAGTTATGACATGAGGGATGAAGAGAGAGGGGAAAAGTGTTTTGGGCAGAGGGAGCAGTAAGGGCAGAGGCCCAGGTGAAAGAAATTAAACATGGGGTATTGAAAAAAGGAGAGAAGTCTGGAAGGAGAGCAGAAGGGAAAAGTGGACTTGAATACAAAGAACACTGATATATTAACAAAGTAGATTAACAAGATTTAATGTTTGATTTGATGCGGGGAGTGATAGAGAAGGAAGAGTTGATTATGACTCTCAGGATCAGAGCAACGTCACTTACTGCAACTGTCAAGAGGAAGAGGAGGACCGTTTCTCCTGTTTTCTGTGGTGAGGGAGAGAAAGAGATGGGGTCTGCTTAGGTCTTGCTGTTAAACTCCCATTTTGCTTTGCAAAACTCCTTATAATGCTTTCTAAAATAAAAAGCATCTAATTGCAGTTAATTTTAATTACATAAGTTATTTGTATATTCTTTGTCTAAAATAGGTCTTTTCCACTGTGCTGAGTTCCTTGAGTACAGGGGGCCGTGCATCTTTGTCTCATCACCTGGTGCTGCCCTTTGTCTCATCACCTGGTGCTGCCCTAAAATCTTCCAATATGCCTATTTAATCTTTAGTAAAATCCTGCTTTTCTGACAGGCATCATCTATCCATGAACACAATTTCCTTACTGAGTTGCATCTGCAATATTGCATCCATCTGTTCACTCATTTATCCATTTGATGAACATTTCTGTCCATTTGATGGACAAGAAATTTAAGAAATCATAAGAGGTTCCTCATGGACTTAACGCTTGTTCTAGACTTAAGGCTAGGGATAAATGAGACCAAAAATCTCAGCTACAAAGCAATATATTACAATTTGGAAACACTTGAATTTTAAGTTATTGGGTAATGATTTTTTTCATATTGTGGTTTAATTATACCTATATTTCAAAATCTGCTTGTGTTTTTCTCTCCTCAGCCCATCTGCCAGGCGGCCTATCAGAATGACTTTGGTCAAGTGTGGCAGTGGGTGAAGGAAGACAGCAACTGTATCAACGTTCAAGATGGCTTTAATGGAGACACTCCCCTGATCTGCGCTTGCAGGCGAGGGCACCTGAGAATCGTTTCCTTCCTCTTAAGGAGAAATGCTGATGTGAACCTCAAAAACCAGGTGAGGCCATGACACGTGAGTGGAGAGCGTAATTGACCATGGTAATTCCTTTCTCCTCACATCAATGGAAGTAGTGAATGTCATTTTCTCATTGCTTGTAGCTCCTTATACCAACAATTTTTTTTTCTTTTGCCTTGCTTTAGAGAGACTGACACATACTGAGGACATTTGATTAGGCTAAAAAGTAAAATAAAACATACTTCAATCAGCAGACATATTTTGTGGTGAATTATGTCCTTGTACTTCTGTAAAGGAAGAAATTGGTTCACTCATTTGACTGGATGGAGCGTCTTTCTTTTTTTCCTTCTCCTCCCCTTCATACTTTTCCTTGCTCTCCCCATCCTCTCTCCCCAATCCTCTACCTCACTATTACAGAAGTAATGGGAAAGATTTCCTGGAAAAAAAATATTGACCTGGCGGTGCTATATCATTAGTTAGATTTTTACCTACTATGTCAGTGTTCTGATCTCCAGAAGATCCTAGAGTTTGCTTATAGAATGAAAGAATTCCAGTGAGAAATTTGCCAAGGACAAATAAGCTCATGAAGCAGAGGCTACTTGGAGCCACACATAAAGGCACAAAGAATGTACTTAAAGATGCAATATTTGCTGACTTGGAGACTTCAGGATCAAGAAAGTGCAGAATATGTGTGTTTTTGCTGTGAACATCCTTTCAGAACCCCTTCAGAACATCCAGTGTCTGCATCATGGTAAAGGCAACGTTTAAAGTACACCGAGTAATTATAAAAAAGCATTTTGTAATAATTATGAAAGTCCTGTATCTACTCACATACACTCAGTGAGGAAAAACAGCCCGTAGGGCCCCACTTGCCCCTTCCAAGTCAGTTTAAAGACCAGCTTATTTGGAGTAATAATGTATTAACAGAAAATGGGTCACTAGTGGACTTTCTTATTTGTGCTTACTATTTTTTGTTTGGTTGGGTTTAAAAGCAAGTAATGCCTGTGCTGAATCTGACAGATATGCAGCTTCGTAGAGCATGACATGATCTCCCTAGCACACAGCTGAGGAACCAGGTGTGTGCAGTTGGGTGAGAGGGAGTGGTGAAGACAGATGTCTATGCGTTTATATCCTCTCGAAAGAGACTTGCTCATTAGGAGGCCGAGGGAGGGAGAAGTTTGACCACACAGGGACAGGGCCAAGGAGTCACCCTTATCTCTGTTTTGCAGAGAATCTGAGCCAACCTGCTAGTACCCTCCGGTATCATGAAAATCATGGACAGGACTTTAGTGGAGACTTTAGGTTAATAGAGATTTTATCAGAAGAAGTATTTGGTTTGCATTTTCTGTTTTTAAAATATTTTTAAATGTTTAACCTTTTTCATTTTTCCCAAATACTAATGTTGGTACACTAATAATTTGAACCAGTGCCTTCTCATTTCTTGAATCTGTGTTTATGAGTTATTTGCAGGAGTGCTAGACAAAGGCCTTAAAAACCAACAAACAAAAAAGCTCTGCTGGTGATTCAGATGCACCTGCCTAGTAGAGGGCATCGATTCTATGGAAAGAAATTTTTTTTTTTTTTTTTGTGAGGAAGATCAGCCCTGAGCTAACATCCATGCTAATCTCCTCTTTTTGCTGAGGAAGACCGGCTCTGAGCTAGCATCTATTGCCAATCCTCCTCCTTTTTTTTCCCCCAAAGCCCCAGTAGATAGTTGTATGTCATAGTCGCACATCCTTCTAGTTGCTGTATGTGGGACACGGCCTCAGCATGGCCAGAGAAGCAGTGCGTTGGTGCGCGCCCGGGATCCGAACCCGGGCCGCCAGTAGCGGAGTGCGTGCACTTAACCGCTAAGCCACGGGGCCGGCCCTATGGAAAGAAAATTAATTAAAACATGAAGATACTTTTGTTTTCCGGTGTGTCCAATTGACCAGGATTAAAGAAGAAAATCCGGTGTTGATCAGGAAGGAAGTTTAAATCATGCTTTTACTGGAGCACAATTTAGCAGCACAATATGAAAGAATTAATACTTTTTATTCCCGGAATTATATTTTTAGAAACTTATGCTAAGGACAAATTTAGAAATGTTGACCAAGCTTTATGAATGAGGATGCTTAAACAATATTATTTATAAAAATGACAAGTTAAAAACTTGAAATGTCCAACAAATAGGGTTTGGCTAAATAAACTAGAGTAACTCCATTCAGTAGAACGCCATGCAGCCATTATAGTCATGTTTAAAAACATTAAATGGCGTGAAAAAATGCACGTATGCTAAATGTCTATTGAAAAAAAAGCAGATATGATTTTGCATATGCAGTATGAGCCCACATTTTAAAATTCCACATATATGCCTTTTTAAAGGCTGGAAGAAAATACAGCAAAATGCCAACAATTAATTCTGGACTGTTTGATAATGGGTGATTTTAAATCCTATCATTATATTCTTATCTAGTTTTACAGAGAACATATATGCCTTGATATTAGAAAAACAAGAAGTACTCTTATTTAAGAACAGTGCCTCCCCCAAGTGGAAATTAACCTCTCTTTTTTCTCTAGCTTTCCCACTTTTCTCATTGATTTGATTGGTATTCCAATCACCATAGCCTGTTTTGCATTATATTTATTTGTGCATGTTTCTGTCTACCTTAGTTTGATTATGAGGCCCTGAGGCTTTAGGGATCTCCCACAATCCCTAGAAGCTTAAGTCTCTCACCTGATAAATATTCACATATTTGAAGAATTAAATTGAGTTATTTCCGTTGTTCTAGCAGGGCCCGAACGCATGTAGGAACATAGAAAAATTGCCATGTGGTTAAGATTTTCCTATAAAGAAACCACAAAACGAATGATTTCATACGGTAGATGATTAAGGGATAACTATAGCTTTTCATATTAAATTCAGTCCTATGTTTACAGTCCTATGTTAAACTAATATGTATATATTTTCAAAAATTAAAATGAGTGTGAAAGTCTACCTTTTGATGATTTGTAACATGTATATTTCACTTGTCTTTCTGTGGCCCTCCCCCCAGCTTTTTCTTTAGACTATACACTGTTTAATATTTTAGTCAATGGAAACCTGGGTTTATTAATTAGACATACTCCACAGAAAGAGGTGCCATGGGTACCATAAAAATAAGTACAAACTAAAATATTGATATAGTAATCTGAAAATATGAAATTTGAGATGAATTATTTTATTCCTAAAGAGTTCTTTTCTTAATTTTTAGAAAGAGAGAACCTGCTTACATTATGCTGTGAAGAAAAGATTTACCTTCTTTGATTATCTACTCATTATCCTCTTAATGCCTGTCTTGCTTATTGGGTATTTCCTCATGGTGAGTATAACACTTCTGAGAGCAAAGGGTAAAGGAGTAGGAGATCAAGAGCATGACTCATCAAGTTTTGCTAAGCCAGTGAGATGTAAAGAAATAGGACAAAATAAGCTCTTGGTCTGTACTCTATAAAGGACGTTTCTAACATTCATGTAGTACTCTGAAGTAAAGCAAGAAGAAAGGTAGCAAAATAGATCATTCAATGGTAAAATAATCTGTGCAGTATTTATTTAGAAAAATAACCTTGATTATGAATCATCTGAAGGGAGCAAAAAAATCCTGAATATTAAAAAAAAAAATTCCCTCTCTTTCTTTTTTCCTTTTTTGTAAGAGGAGTTTGTCTTTGTATATTTTTTTCTGAGTTTCTGATTTTTAAGGAACCACCCTGGTTGTGAGTTAAAAAAACAGATCCCAAGAGATTTGCATCCCGAAGTTGACAAACACAGAAGATCTTTATAGAAAATTTGAAGCCCACCTTTCACTTTGATAGATTTATTTATGCTTGAATGAATCTTTGGCATGCAGTAATTTTCTTGAGTAAAGAAAGATGTAGTTATGCAGTCATATTATGAGTGGAAGATGAAGCTTGAGGTTTTTTTTTTTTTGTTGTTGTTGTTGTGAGGAAGATCAGCCCTGAGCTAACATCCATGCTAATCCTCCTCCTTTGCTGAGGACGATCGGCTCTGAGCTAACATCTATTGCCAATCTTCCTCCTTTTTTCCCCCCAAAAGCCCCAGTAGATAGTTGTATGTCATAGTTGCACATCCTTCTAGTTGCTGTATGTGGGACGCGGCCTCAGCATGGCCGGAGAAGTGGTGCATCGGTGAGCGCCCGGGATCTGAACCCCAGGCCGCCAGCAGCAGAGCACGCGCACTTAACCACTAAGCCATGGGCCGGCCCTAGTTTTGTTTTTAAATAGAGTGACAACTTTGTACTGACTCATTCACTTTTTTGCCTCTGGTTCGCTTGTGGCCATTTCCATCTTTGAGAGATGACTCAACAGATGTGTAATTTACTCCAGTTAAATGACCAAGCTCCCTTCTCTTTCCAGCTAATAGACTGTGGGTATTAGTTATCTCTGTTGACATAAGCTCTAGAACAAAGCCTGTCAGTTAGAAATGTTATTACTTCCTTGGGTATTTAAATGTTACAGAATTTGGGGAATTAGAATTAAATATGGTAATGTTGATTTTGATGCTTGGATTTATAGGAAAGAGAAAACTATAAGTCACTGATAAACACATAATCCGCTTATATCCTTGAAAAGTTCTTGAAAAATTAAATGTGCATTTAGTGCTTAGCGTTTGAATATTTTGTAGTTTTGAGGCAGGCGGGGGATCAGTCATTCATTTACAAACCTTTTTAGAGATTATGAAGAAACAGTCATCATAACTATGATTAACAAGGCTCATTCAGAATTTGTTGACAAACAACCCTGGTTTCTAAGACAGTTGAATGTTTAAAAGCTGGAGGCCCAGGCAAAAATACTAATTGTAATGAATATCCCAGCTCCGATTGCACATGTATCCTATTTATTCATGGGGCCTGAAATTGTAAGTTTGTGATACATAAGAGATAAGCGACAGGAGAGGAAATTATAGAGGAAGAGACCAGAAAGGACTGTGTTACTTCAGAGAAGGGTAGGAGGAGACAGGCAGGTTAGATATCGACACAGGAAGGAAGCACAAAGAGAGAAGACAACTGGGTGGAGCTTCCTAACTGATAAAGGGGCTGTACTCCAGGACATGCCCACCTGAGCAGGGAGAGCTGTGCACCCTAAAGCAATGGGATGTTCAGGGGATGCTCAAATTATCATGTTGTCAGAATCTCAGGGGACTAGGCAGGAAAAGCGGATTTCTGAGGAGCCTAGTTAATTTCCTTCATTTGTTCAGTCATTCAATACGTACTTAGTATGGACCTACTACATGCCAGACCCCATGCTGGGTGTTAGGGATACAAGGAGGAATCAACGAGAGTAGTCCTTGTCCTCACGAGAGTTAGAGGGTAGTGAAGAATGAGTCATTAATCAAATAATGGCAGAAACACATGTAAAATTACCATGAAGTAGGTGGTACAGAGAGGTGACCAGTGTTTTGAGAGCCCAGAAGAGAGGGATTTCAGCTGGCCAGGTAGGTGAGGGAAAGCCTCCTGGAGGAAGAGATGCTTGGGCTAAGATATGAAAGATGAATTTACCAGGCAAAGAAGGGAGGGAGGGGGCTCTAGGTAGAAGGAACATTCAGTGCAACTATTCCATGGCACGAGGGATGCTAGTGGGAATGAAAGGCTAACAAAGGCCAGTGTGGCTAGAGCAAGGTGAGCAAGGAGGAGTGGAATGAGATGGCTTGGGCCATAGTGGAGGCCAAAACATATGGGGCCTTGTAGGCCTGGCTGAAGAGTTTGCTTTTGTTCTCAGAGCAATGGGATGTTATTGAAAGGTTTTGACAGGAAGGGAAAGACAGGTCACTGGAACCCATCCTCAGTGGGATTTGGTAGGTCTGGGGTGAGGCCCCAGAATTTGCATTTCTAGGTTCCTAAGTGCTGAGGATCCTACTCTAGGACCACACTCAAGAACCATGGCTTTACCTAGTTGATGTTGGAAGGGGGTGAGGGGGTGGGGGAAATTTTTAAAAAGATGCATAGACGCATGGGAGTATTGGGATTAAAATGAAGCCTCTTGATTGGAATAGTCCAGACATAAGATGGAGAAAATGTTTGTAAATAAACCTCTCCTGTACTTGCTGTTTGTAATAGGTATCAAAGACAAAGCAGAATGAGGCTCTTGTACGAATGCTACTTGATGCTGGCATCGAAGTTAATGCTACAGACTGTGTAAGTTTGAATCTTTAGTCATTTTGAAATGCTACTCAAAATGGCATTTGTAGGTAGTGTAATTGTCATCTCTTAACTTGCTTCCTTTATTTTCTAGACACTTTTACATTTGGTTTTCTCTTTCTTTCCTTTTTTTTTTTTTCACTGCCAGTCAGGCGACTTTGAGGTTGTTTATATACTGCCACTAAACTTATGAGAATAAAATTTTTATTGAATATAGAACATTTTTAAAAGAACTGCTCCACCATTGGTGAGAAGTTAAGGAAAACAGAGGCTCTGATAAGAAAATTCCATCCTCAGTAGTTCAGAAGCTACTGAGTCAGACTGACTACGTGTAGGCTTGCCGCTTTTTAGCTATGTGAGTTTTGGCAAGTTATAAATTTGTTTGACTCTTAGTTTCCTCTGTAAAATGAGGATATCAATAGTACTTACCTTACAGGGCTGATTCATGCAAAGCACTTAGGGTGCCTGGTATGTAGAAAGCACTCAATGACTCTTAACAGCTGCCGCTGCAGCCAAGGTCCCAACCCACTGATGAGAGAGTCCCTGTCTATAAACTAAAGAAAGAGATGGACAGAGGTCAAAGAAAAAACCAAGTGATGGTAAGAGCCGTGATAACAAGAGCAGCATCAGCTGACTTCTTCCTGTTTATAAGAATAAGGTTATGTTTTCACCTTTTATCCCTGCACACTAAAACTCATCTTCTTCCCTTAAATGATCATACATTGGTGAAATGTTTATTTGTATGGAATTTTATTTGTTTATATTGATTGAATAAAATTTTGGGTTCCCAGTACTTTATTAAAAAAGTAGGCAAGTAGAAATTTGATTCCAAAAACCCAACATTCTATTTGTGATCCCTAATTTATTTTATGTGTATGCACATCTGTGTGAGTGAGTCAGTGTGTGTGTGTGTGTGAGAGAGAGAAAGAACACAAGAGAATAAGTTTATGAAATGTGTGTTTTCCTTTTATTTCAAATAGGATTTTTGGATTAGTTTGGGTAGACTACTACTGTGCATCAACAGTTTCTTAGATAACTTTGAAATGTATTAAGTAAGATGTTATTAAAAATTAAGTAAAAGATTTGTTGAAGGTTTTTCTTGGTCTTTTCATTTAAATTCATAAGGTTTAAAACTTGTGCCTATGACCAAAATTTCTCTAGGGTATTTTTCTAGCTATCTATGTTCATCTCTATTTCTAGACAGAGATGTTACATTCCTGTGTGTACACATGTGCACATACACAGACAACAGATGCAGACACATACTTTTCCCACCAAACATATTTCAAAAACGATCTGCATATTAAGATCAATTTTACAACTCTAAATAATGCAGTGTATTGTATTTTTAGGTAATTGGACTGTCTTTATTTCACATGGAAATATTCAGAGCCAGAGCTTCCATCCCTCATGTCATCACAATAAAAATAAGTGATTGCAGCATTATCTTCTATGATCTTAGAAGAGTTCCTGGGGAATAAGATCCAGCGTTAATTCTATTAGTCTTGATAGTCAAGGATATTATTTCTTTACTTACCAAAACCATGGTGGTTTGGCTGCTTTTTGAAAGGCAAAATTTCGGCCACAAATGATCCAGCTACAAATTTCTTTTGACCTGTAGCTAGTGTTTTAAATTAGTACCAACACAGTAAATCCACTATTTTATAACACATAAGATAAGCTACAACACACCAAGTGTAGGACACTTCAGTGTCGAGCTGCACTGATCTTGTAGGTGTGCTGTAGCAATATGAGCACCTGTCACCTTCTTCAGACTGTGGGCATTTTGACAAGAACCACAGAGGATGATATTTGCAAAAAGGCCCTTCTTGAAGAGAAAAGATGGTAGTAACACGATCAAGGTGGAAATTGCCAAGACATATAGAATGCTATAAAGAAACTTTGGGAATTCAGCATCAGCTTTTTATAAGTTGCATTTTTTAAATTTGGAAAAGAAAATGAGAAAGGAAGATATTAATGGGTTATAAGACATTAATAATATACACACGGGGACAGAAAAAGATTTTTTAAGTCCAAACAATGTAGTCGCACATAGATGGTTTGCAGACTGTTTTGCTTAGCTGTTCACGACAAAATGTGAAAAGTACTTGCTAAAGAAGCTACAGGCTACAGTCTGTAAAGAGTTGGACTGATGAGCCGCAATGTTGGCCCTTTGTGTTTCAGTATGGCTGCACTGCATTACATTATGCCTGCGAAATGAAAAACCAGACTCTCATCCCTCTGCTCCTTGAAGCAAATGCAGACCCCATGATAAAGAATAAGGTAAGGACTTGTGGACCATGGTCTGAGGTCCTTCCAGCAGCACCATCTTCTAACTTCAGCTTTGTGTTGAAGTAAATTAATCGCCTCTGATGTTGTTAACAGCAAAATTAATCATCCTCATTGAGGAATTAAATTATCCTATTACTGTTAGAATTGAATGACATTCAAAGCCCTTGCCAAGCCTGAGAGTCCATTGGTCTAAATTGTTTACTAGACCCTTTGCGTTGACATTTGACTCTACTGGAAATAAATAACTATAATTTCTTTTTCTCCTCAGAATGGTGAGAGTTCTCTGGATGTTGCACGGAGATTAAAATTTTCCCAGATTGAATTAATGCTAAGGAAAGCATCATAATCCTTGTGAACTCAGACGGAGAAGCAGAAAAAGTTGAAGGACTGGATTCTATCTCCATCTTGGCCTATTGGTCTGTGGGCCACTCAGCCTGGATGCCGCCATTTTAGGGGGATAATGACGGTTGTCATGGGAAACGTTTTTGAATAGCTTTGTATTTATGTTTTTTGCTCAGTGGAGTTCAGCAAACTCAGTGTCTGCTGAAGAGGATCAGAGTTATCTGAGATAGTATTCTTTCTTCTCAGTTGTGTCCCTCTTAAAAAGAGGCTGTTCTGTCTATATCACGTCCTAGGAGACAAACTGTTCCTCTCAGGCCCCTTTAAGTAGTAACAGGAAGAATGGAAGCATGTACATTTGTATAGAATGGTGTGGGTATGTGTGTGAGTTTAGAGAATCATGTAAATATTCCTTTGATCAAACAACCTCAACAAAAACATTTATCAGTTGTCGGTGATGGGAGTGTTTACACCACAGAGATTGGTAAATGCTACAAATGAAGGTGTTTTTTTCTTTCCAGAGAGCTAGTTTACCAGCACACTGCTAGACATTTTGGTATCATTTTACAAATAAAAGCCGTCTTGATTTTGAACAAGACTATGTAACTATCAAGATGTTTGTTCAAAAATATCTTTATGATTCTTTTGTGAATGCAAGGCAGCTACTAAACTTGTTCTGTTTATTTTTATTGATAAAATTTAAAATTTTATTGTAGATTATTTGGATAAAGGATTTCTTTACAAGAAATAGAGGTATATTATGAAGTACTATCTGGATTGTATTTCGAGATGAGAGATTGAATATCAAAATATCTCTCTCAACTCTCTCAACTCCCTTGTCAATGAGACAGAGTAGAGATAAACATATTTAAAAAATGATTGAATTTTGCAAAGCAAGACTGAATCATGAATAGCTTTAGACATAGACTAAACCACACTATGTGTAATAACAAGTATGATCTAAGAATGAAAGATTTACCATTGTTGAACAGAACAAAGGTCTAATAAAAATCAAATCCAGGAATATTTATTGAAGTATGTATAAGACTTTAAGGTACATGTTTTGTGAGGGAAGTAGTAGTGTGTAGATATAGATTCTAAAGCCCTTAAATATTTCTTAATAAATTATTTAAGATCTATTTACACCAAACTGAGTTATCAGGTGACTCTGGAGGATGAAAAAAAGAAGTGAATTTCACACATCACTATACCTTCGACACACACTAGTATATCTTCGATTTGGTTTCAGGGTTTTGCAAAATTCTACTATGGCTCATGTAATTTATAACTATCATCTTTGAAACTGTCTGAAAATTGGAAATTTTTTTAAAGAAATAAATCCAGATTTGTGAATGAGTTGGGGTGATTGTCTAACAGTAACTTTGTCAAGATCAAAGGATAAAATACAGGACAATTTGTTTTATTACGCTCATGAGATTATAAAATTTTCTCCCTAGCTTTTGATTTTTGAAAGCAGAAAACCAGGCCAGACATTTCTGGCTATTAGGTCTCCTAAGAACAGGCTGTAAACGCTCAAACAAGCTTGGACTAGAATCAAGGTACTGAAATACACATACCTGATTTATGCATTTATTGGAAAACTCATAAAAATCCTACAGAGTTATCTTCTCTGAGACTCAACTAGAAGACTTAGGCCAATTCTGAAGGTGCTTAAAATATATTTCATCCATACTTATTTATTTATTTATTTTTGGTTAAAGCAGCTTGGCTTCTTGAGGTAGTATTATGTCTCTATGGCAATAAGGTGAAAATGTCTAGCTTATTTTGCCAAAGTTACAACAATTCAGAGATTCAAGACCTCTGTCCCAATTTGTCATTTTACTTTATTGCTCAAAAACTGTGGCTCATAGAAAAAAAAAAATTTTAGGGAGGCATAGAGAATGTCTAGATAATTTCTAGCTACTGGATAAAACCCACCCTTCAAAATGGTGGAATATATGATAGCATATGAAACCTATGTTCACTCAATGAGTAGTTTAATTAACTGAAAAAAAATTTGAATGTCAGTTTTAGTGCCAAATGCAGGAACTCTGAAGGAACATCTACTCTATCTCTGCCCTCCCTTCTCTACCTCCCTTCTACTGATGTGGTAGGTTTCCAATTTCAAAAATCCTTAAAATCTTCCATTCCTGGACCCCAGCCCCATTTTCCATGAGGTTTCTCCTAAGGCTTGTCACTGTCAGATACCTCATAATCTGACCCTGCACATTCCCTGGGAAAGGTTGGTCTCCTCCTCCTTCATCAGATGTATGATTTCATTGTACATGCGATGAGCAGCATCCAAACCCCAGATGAAATCCGAGTGAGCCCATTCCGGAATGTTCTTGTGGTAAATGAGATTGGTCATCTCCAAGAGCAGTGCTTTCGCATCTTCTGGATTTGAAAGCCAGTCCTGACCTCCAGTCCACATGGCTGTAGGAACCGTCATGTCTCTAACTTTGTACCTTACAGGAGTTGGCTAGAGAAAAGGAATAGTTTTTAACTGTAGATAACATTTGGACTTCCAAACTCATAATTTACACTCCAAATAAACATAGTAAATATACCCTGTCTTGTGACCAAAGGTTAATGGGCACTAGAGCCATATAGAACTGCATGAAGAGTTTCTCTTCCAGTCCCTACTTTAAGGTAAAAATACTTGACCTCACTAAACCTCAGTTTCTTCATCTGTGAAATGGGGATGATATCTATAATAAGTTACTAGGCTAAATGAGAAAATAGGTAAATTGCCTAGTACTTTAGGCATTAAATAATGTTCAATTCTTTTTCTTCTTGTTAATAAATATTTTACACATAAATTGCCTTTAGAAGACAATGTTCCCATCCTTTTAAAGAATTTCACAAACCTTTCATGAGGCCAGAGTTAGAGATATTCTAGAGAGAAAGACAAGAGAATGGAACCTATTGAGAAGGCCTCTGGGTCTTCAGAGACTTGCTGTGTTAACAGAAAGCCCTTAAGGCAGGCCAGCTTGACTGTGTCTCCAAAAACAGGAGGGAAGTCAATAGTACTGGAATTTGGGTGGTTTGAGCCAATGGGAGGTAAAAATTAGATCCCTGCTCCAGTCCCCCATAACCCAAAGAAGGGTATCTAGGATTCCTAGTTCTTGAGAACTTCCCTTATTCAAGCAGAACTGCTAGATCAGCCTGGCTGGCTGAGCCCTTGAGGTTAATCAGCACCCAGAACTTTCAACAGAAATGTCGAAGCCCATTTCTCACTCAGAAAATCCACCCTGGACCCAACGTTCCAATCCTGGCAGCTCCTGTTTCTTTTTGTGTCTTTCTAAGAACTAGGAGCTATAGCCTGTGATAGTCTGATTTATAATAAGAAATATATATTTGGTCTTCATCCCTGTTTCTGGCCACAGACCTCCTAAATCCCTTGGAATTTCCTAAGTGATGAGAGCCATAAAGGTGTCTTTTTTTGGTTAATGAGGTGACTTGGAACTAGATGAAGGCTGGTTGCCAGTGGAGCTGAGCATGTGTTTAGAGGGCTGGAATTTTCAGTCCCACCTCCGGACCTCCAGGGAGGGGGAGGGACTGGAGATTGAGTTCAATGGACAACGGCCAATGATTTAATCGATCATGTCTGTGTAATGAAGCTTCCATAAAAACCCAAAAAAGACAGGGTTCAGAGAGCTCCCAAGTTGGTGGACAAGTGGAAATGCAGGGAGAATGTGCATCTGGAGAGGGCATGGGATCAGTGCCCCTTCCCACATGCCTTGCCCTATGCATCTCTTCCATCTGTCTGTTTCTGAGTTATATCCTTTTATAATAAACCGATAATCTAGTAAGTAAAATGTTTCTCTGAGTTCTGTCAGCCGATGTACCAAATTAATCGAACCTGAGGAGGGGGTTATTGGAATCTCTGATTTATAGTTAGTTGGTCAGAAGCACAGATAACAACCTGGGATTGGGATTGGCATCTGAATTGGAGGACAGTTTTGTGGGACTGAGCCCTTAACCTGCAGGATATGATGCTATTTTCGGCTAAATAGTGTCAGAATTGCGTTAAACCATATGACATCCAGCTGGTGTCTGAGAATTGCTTGTTGGTGTGGGGAAACTCTCCCCACCATCACATGTTGGAATTTGGAATTTGGTGATCAGAACCACCTTTTATAGCCTAACTTAGTATGAAAGGTTGGAATATTCTATGGAGCCAGTAATATTTGTTTCTCATCTTACAGGTGAAAAGACTGAACTAAATGTCAGGTCTAGCTCTAAGATTCTGTGATTTTATCACATCTTTTCGTATGTGTGTTTTCTCTTCCTTTCCATGACCATTTTCTGGCACGTACTCTGCACGTGTCACTTTCTGTAGAACTCAGGACATTAAATGTTGATAAATCTATTTTGGAACTGGAATGCTTTCTCTAAAGACATGTTTTAGGAAATAGTGAAGTAGCTGATACCTGTGATTGAGAGTTTGCTCTTGCAGGGCCCTACACAGTCTGTGCAGTTTCCTAGTCTTTTATATCTAGTCTGATGTATGGAAATGGATGTCAAGTTAACCTAAAGATGTGTCTACTTGGCTCTCTCCAGCTTTGTGTTTGTATGGTCAACACTTGTTTACATTCACAAACAAGCTAACTGATAATCTTCAGTGAAGATTTTATGCTCAGAAGAGTATAATATCTACTTCTGAGTCTTCACAACTTTTATTTTTAATTTTATGCGATAGCATCGACTACACATTTTCTTGGGTAATGTAATAACTTTTTTTTTCACTTTTTCACTTGCAAATTACAGATTAATTAAAAAAGTGTGACTAGGGAGAAGTCTTAGGGATTATCTAGTTCAATAATTTTTATTTTAAAGATAAATCAAGGCCTGAAGAATCAAAGCAGCCTATCCATGATCACACAAGTTTATAGCGTAGAGGCAAGACGAACACCATAATCTTCACTTGCCATTTAATGCTCTTTTTACTGTACCATGAAATGACCTCACCCCTGCCATCCTCATTCCTGGTTGGGTTTTTTTTTTTTTTTTGATCCTAAAAGGATCCTTCTAGTAGTTACCAGAGAGCACAATCCTCCCTTCACTAAAT